TTCCTCCAAAGGGGAATGTCACAGCTGAAGGGATCCCTTTTGGTGACAAGCTATGTGAGAATGGGGATGGACTGACACATAAAATGTTGCCTGTGTGTTTCTATGTTGCCATCTTTTATTTTTGTGCTCTGCTGGGTTGCTGTAGCTCTTGAATTATACTTCAGAGCTCTCTCAGAGCTATTTTCATAAGTAGTGTCTATTAATCATTGTTTTTCTGGAGGTGCAAGTGCTGGGACCTCCTAGTTTACCAGTCTTGCTGATGTCATACTCCTAAATGTTTGTTGTTTCTTTCTTTCTTTGTGTAAGAAATAAAGATGGGCCCTGGCTGATGTGACTCAGTGGACTGTGTGCCAGGCAGTGAACCAAGAGGTTGGCAGTTTGATTCCCAGTCAGGGAACATGCTTGGGTTACAGGCCAGGTCCCCAGCTGGGGGTGTGTGAGAGGCAACCACACTTTGATGTTTCTCTCCCTCTCTTTCTCCCTCCCTTCCCCTCTTTCTAAAAATAAATAAAAAAATGAAAAAAAATAAAGATGATCCTTGGGGGACAGGCATTTTTACATGGTATTGACTTTAGCTGGGGTGCTTTCATGGTGCTAAGGTTAATAAGGACAGAGTAGGACCCAAGGAAAACTAGCTGGCTTCTGCTTCCTCCTAAGGCACTGATGACTGTCCTTGATACTGAAATGAGGCTCAGAGGACAGAAATTTTGGGCAATGTTGAAAGGTAAAGGGGTTTCTTCTTATAGAAAACAATATAATTGGTTTATTTAGATTGGAATTGACCCATTTCCAGATTGGAAATGTCTCAGGTTGGCAGGATTTGGATCACAGATCTTTTTCAAGAGCTGTGGATGGTTCAGCCATTACAATTAAGATCAGTCTAACCATACCCCCTCAACCAGGACACTGTGGGAAGAGAGGCTGATCTAGATTGTTGGGTTGATCATCCACAGGTAAGTAATACAGTCTATAAACTGAGCTATGTCACAGGGATTGGAGGCCCAAGGAGGATCAGAGACACCCAGACATATCTGTTGGAGATCGTGAAGCTGAGAATCCCATGATGCATTCCACACTTAGGCACTGGACCCTCCAGGTTGCTCAATATAAGAAGTCTTAGTTGGTTCATGATCATAGACATTCACAATGCCAGGGCTCATGGGATGAGTGTTTGTAGAAGTTACAGGTAAAGAGTTCTTTTCCTTTACTAAAATGATTTGGTTTGGTGCTTCTAATGCCATACTTGGCCAAGTTTGTAGCTGCTCCTTCCTCCTTTTAATGCGCTGGTTCTTGAACCAAGTCTTTATTATTAACTCTTCAATTTGAGTTGTTGAAGTGAAGTTCTGTTTTGGTAGCCCAATGTGGGTACTTGGTCTTTTCAAATCTATCTTTCAGTATTCTAAGCTGTTCTGGACTAAAATGTTGTGTGGTACTACCAAGCAGATCTTGGCTTTTCTGCCGTAAATCTTTAAAAGGTAGAATGATCTGCTGTGTGTGTTTATGAGCCATCTGATTTTCATCTCTGTGAGGGGTCCTATTTTTTATCCAATCTTAAAATCTCTTTAATTTAGTTAGGATTTTTTATACCAGTTATATTTAATGTGAATATTGGTATGATATGCTATTAGTTCCTATTTGTCTCATTTTTAATTAGACCCTCTTTTTCTCTTTTTTCTGCTTATTTTGGATTATTTATGATCAATTTTATCACCTTTACTAGCCTATTAGTTATACTCTTTGCTTTTAGAGGTTGCTTTAGGATTTATTGTATATATGCTTAATTTATTACTGCCTGTCTTCAAATAATATTATATTCATTTACTTGTAGTGTAAAGCCTAAGAACTGCCCTGACTGGTGTGGCTTAGTGAATTGAGTGCTGGCCTGTGAACCAAAGGGCTGCTGGTTCAGTTCCCAGTCAGGGTACATGTCTGGGTTGTGGGCCAGGTCCCTGGTAGGGGGCATGTGAAAGGCAACCACACATTGATGTTTCTCCCCCTTTCTTTATCTTTGCCTTCCCCTCTCTCTAAAACAAACAAACAAACAAACAAACAACCCCCACTAAGAACAGTAACTTCTACGTAACTTTTCCTGCCTTTATGTCATTGTCATGCCATTTTACTTCTGTATTCTTACAAACTCCACAATACATGATTATTATTTTTGCATTAAATGGTCTATTACCTTTTAAAATAACCTTAAAAATTAAGGAAATACGCATTTCTGTTTATTTATGAACTTTCTGTTTCCAGTGCTTTTCATTTCTTATGTAAGTCAAGATTTTCTTCTGATAATTATTTTCTTTTTATGTGATGGGCTAACTTTAATGTTTTTCCTAGTTCAGGTATGTTGGACATAAATTATTTTAGCTTTTGTCTGTTGCAAAAAGTCTTTATTTTGCCTTTGTATTCGAAAGTCATTTTTACTACATATGGTATTTCAGGTTGACAGTTTTTTTCCTTCATTACTTTAGAGATATAATTTCATTAACTTCTGGCTTGCATTGTTTCTGAAAAGTCCTGTGTTCACTATGTCTGTGTTTGTTTCTCTGTACATGATCCCTCGCTCCCTCCCTCCCTCTCTCTTTTTCTCTTTTTTTTTTGTGTCTGTGTTTGAAGGCAGTATGTTTAATGTCTAAACAATGTTTCTTTACATATTTTTATGTTTTTCACAATCTCAGGCAGGAAGAAATATGTCATCAAGTGATAAAGCATCTGGTTCCCTTCCTCAGGACTGCTGGTAGAGTCAGGGCTTGAAGTGGCTGGGAAGGTGTTGAGTGCTAGAACTTTCCCTGTGCTGCTGTACATCTCGCTGGATCTATTTCCACTTTAGCCCTGATAACAAAGGTGGAGTATGGAGGTGGGGATGAGCACTTGCAGTGAACCTCTCTTCCTAATGGCCCCTTCGATTCCAGCTACTTTGAGAAAAACAGAAGATCTCTAGGTGGGGTGAGTTTGCAGGAGAGAAGACCACTGTTTTGAACATAAACTCCCATCCTGGCATGATCACCCTTAAACAGGCCATCTAACCTCCCTCAGCCTTGGTCATCTCATATTTCAAGTGGAGTTAAGACTATCTACCTCAAAGATTAGAATGCGACATTATGAGACCTTTAATAAATAGCTAGGATACAAGCTGTCTTTTTATTTAAAAAATATCAAAAATAGGAACACTTCATGAATTTGTATGTCATCCTTCTGCAGGGGCCATGCTAATCTTCTCTGTATTGTTCCCATTTTAGTAAATGTGCTTCCAAAGCAAGCACCATGTTTCTTTATTCACTGGCTGCTTTTAAGTTTTTCTCTTTAGGTAAATTGATTATGATGTGCCTTGGTTTAGTTTCCTTTGTGTTTTTTCTGCTTGGGATTTATTGACTTTTTTGGATCTATAGGTTCATAATTTTTATCAATTTTTGTATCAATTATTTCTTTAAATATGTTTTTGTCTCAGCCTGGACTCCACTCTTAAGTCCTCAATTACAGGTACATAGTTTTTAATTTTTTTTAGGGAAGAGGGATCTTTCATTTTAGATAGTTTTTGTCTGCACATACTGCTTTGTCTGACTATTGACTAATCTCTCCTTTAGACTGATATAACATTAATCCCATCTAGTGTATTTTTCGCCTCTCATATGTAATATTTTTTATTTTTAGATGTTTGATTTGGGTCTTTTTTAATGCTTTTTATGTCTCTCCATAGCATGTTATCTTTTCCTCTATTTTCTTAAACACATACATTGTATTTATAATAGCTATTTTAAGAAACTTGTGTACTAATTATTTTTGTGTGTAATGTCTGAATCATTTTCTTATTGATCAACTGTTCTCATTATGAGATTTTTTTGCATGCTTGTTATTTTTCGAATAGGTGGAAGACATAGTGCAAGTTATGTTGTTGGGTTCTATATTCTTTTAAATATTTTAAATTTTCTTGTTAGAATCCATTTGAGTTAGAAAGTTTAGATCTTTTGCTGGCTTGCCGTTGGACATTGTTTGGCAGCTCTTAGTTTAGTACATCAGTTTCGTCCAGTGCTAATGTGACTCTGCTGCTGAGGTGACACTCTTCCAGGAGCTCAGCCTTGTGTCACAGGGTTCCCTGGTCTGGTTGTTGAGAATGAACACATTTCTAGAGCTGTGGGCACTACAACTCTTCTTGTCCTGCTTCTTTCTCTTGGCTCTCTCTGGTTGCAGATAGTTTGCTCACTCACATGTGCTAATCCATGTTCGGGTGAAGACTGAGGAGACATACCACCCTCCACCCCACGGCTCTCTGGAACATTTCTCTGTGTGGTGCTCTCCTTTCTGGTACTCTGCTCTGCCCATTGTAGCTGTCTTTGCCTCCCTGAATCTCAACGCTGTTTTTTCCTTTCAGGACTGCTTGCTTTGCTTGGGCCCCTCTTCTGCACTGTGGTCTGGAAGCTCCCCACGCTGCAGGCTGCGTGATCAGGATGCATCACATTTTTTCTTTCCCTCAGTGATCATTGTCCCATGATGCCTGTTTGTCCTGTGTCTGAACATCCTGTCTCAGGTCTTTTGTCTGTTTCTCAATTGTTTGAGGCAGGAGAGTCAATCCCTTTTCTGTCATTGCATGAAAGTAGATGTCCTCCTTTGGCAGTTTCTGATACCTCCATCCTCTTCAGACTGAGACTCAGCCTCTTCAGACTGAGGCTGCCAGAAGGAGTCTCTAGTAACATTGTTTACATACCACTGAAGTCTTTGCACAGGCAGGCCTCCTTGGTCTGGTCACAGTTTAGGGCAGTCTAGGGTTCTGAGCATTTATTGATACTTTTTAAGTCCAGGCTCAGTTTCAAATCTAACTACTTTTTGTGGAATTCCTTCTCTGGAAAACTGTCTTGACTTTCCAAATAATTGATTTATGATTACATTTTTTCTATATAAATTACTTTGGTTTGACGAAGTTTGATGTCTAAGGTATAGAGCATTCTTTGCATTATTTTCTACCTGTGATTTTCAATTATAATCCTTTTTTAACCTGTTTACAGGGCTGTGTCCAGAGAGAGAAGATCTTCACATGGTTCCATGTAAGTAGTACTTCTTAAAATGCCTTTATAGAGGGTATGTCTTTAATTGAGTGATTCTTTCTACAGCAGTGATTTTTTAAAATCTTGTTTGCACCTGAAGCCACATGTCTTACTGCCCTTCCTTATGGCCTGGTTTTACGTCACATGAGGGACCTGTTACAGGTCAGGGTGCAACAACAGTACCAGTGATATGCACGATTTCCCATCTGGCTTTTGTAGGACCAAAGCTGAAAAAGAAGTGGTTTTCTCCTTTTCCATTAACCTTTGTTCTCCAAAGTTAACTCGACCAAACTGTCCAGTAGTGGATCTGAGGCCAGTTGTTAGTGTGCTCTACACGGACACATGCCTCTTTCTCATGCTCCAGTGGTGCTCACCAGCCAGTAGTGATGAATGTGTGCTGTGGCCATGATGACGTGTCCGGGCCATGTGGACACCTGTTTGTGGCTGTGTCTCCAGTTTTGCAAAACCACTTTGAAATGACTTCTTTTAAATTTATCCTTAAGAGATTTGTTTTTCTAAAACTTATAATATTTTCTAAAAGTTTTCAGCAGTCTTGTTTGGAATACAAATTAGCAGCTAATTTTTATGAAATGCCTGATTTGTGTCAGCTATGCTGGTCTAAATATCTTGCTTAGTTCCCACATGCCCTGTGAAGTAGGTACTCTTCTACTCACTTCCAAGGCTCACGGAAGTGACGTCACCGTGGCAGTCAGTGGGGAGACTGGGATTTGAGCCAAGGCCTCTGACTTTATTAGCCTGAGTCCGCTTCACGAGGGTAGAATAAGTGGGAGCTGCCTGGATGCTGTGAGGTAGGCCCTGAACTCAGTATCTGCCCTTCCCGTTGAGTGGTTTAGGTGGCAGCCCCGAGTGGCCACCATGGAGTACTGAGCTTAGCCATCCTGGTGGGAGGGTGATACAGGCACAGCCCTGACTTTCCAGGGCCTGTTGTCTGCAGCAGGGCAGTGACTTCATCAGCAGCCCCCCCTTGGGAGATGGTGGCAAGGAGTTGGGAGCATGTGCACGTATGTATTCAGGGCTGTTGGTTAACCCAATCCTGAACATTTGAAGAGGAGCGTTCTTACTTAACAAGTTGTTTGAACAAAGATTTTGTTTGTTCTTTCCTTTATTCAGCAAGTATTTGATGGAATGCCTGTGATGTGCCAGGCACTCTTCTAGAACACCCTTAGTTTACATCCTTATGGGGGTTACAAAACATAAATACTAAGTAACAATGTGTCAGGTGGTGATGCTGCTGTGGAGGAAATGAAGAACGGGGAGGGCTGTGGGAGTGCTGGGCGCAGTTTTGAATGGGCAGTCAGTGCAGGCCCTGAGAAGGGAACAATTGAGCAGAGCCATGAAGGAGCTGCAGGACCGAGCCCTATGGGTGTTGGAGGGTGAACGGCACCAGGCCCCAGGGGGGAAGGAGCAGAGGCTCTGGGCAATGTGCCTGGCGTGTTCACAGAGCAGCAAGGAGGTCCGTGTGGCTGGACCCAAGTGGAGTGAAGGAGCAGGGGCAGGAGCTGATGTCATTGGGTATCAAAGACACATCAGGGCCATAGAGGGACATCCTGAGGCCACTTGCTGTGTCAGGAATGAGGGCTGACTGTGGGAGTGGGGGTCCAGGTAGTCTTTTTTCCTTCCTTTGTTGGATTGTTTTTTTCAAACTGAAGCTGTTACATAGAGAACATCCAGATTCCTCCTGGCTTGGGACCAACACTGTAATTGTGCAAATCTGGATCTAATTTTCACAGAAACCCCAAGGGAAGGGCCCTTGGAACTCAGGCATATAAACAATGCCCCGGATATGCTGGGCCTCTTTCCCCATAGACATTGGTGTTGTCCAAATTCCTCCACCCTAGTTCGGACCGACTGCAGTTCTGGAGATGAATAAACATGCCTGGGTGGGCCAGGCTGGCTGAGTTACCCACCCTGTCGGCGCTGCACAGTGCGCGCTGGCTCTGCGCCGTAGGAGACAAATAATGTGTTTGAGCCATCAAGACTGCAGCTCCAGAGGGCTGCAGCCGGGATCTGGGAATTCCCTGAGGCTTGGTTAACTGAAGGCAGCCAGCTTTTTATAGGGCACCTGTGGCCTCTTCTGCAGGTTTGAAGGGAGCTATTAGGAACACTCATCTGGTTGGAACAGAAATGGCTCTGCTTCCCTTGGCAGTCCTGGTTGAGTCCTGCAGCGTCTTCCAGTGGGATTCCTGGGGATGTGATGAGCCAGTATGGAGTTCATCTGCAGTGGGTGATGCCCAGGGGAACTGGTGGTTTGGAAGAACTTGGATTTCCATTTTCACGTCTCTGAGAACTTTCCACACTTCCATAGACTGAGGCGAAGAGCAGTCTGACTTAGTGAAGCCGAAGATGGGCTTCTGGCCTCAGTGTGATGCCTGCGTTTAGACAAAGCTGGGATTCCTGAAAGCCCACTTTGTTAGGCAGAGGGGAATCGGGGATCCTACAGCTGGCTGGTGGCAGAGACCCTTCCTTGCCCAACTCAGGCCTGGGCCTTAGGCTACACTAAGAGCAGGAAATTAAGAGATAATGATAACAGGAACTTTGTTGACATTTTTATTTACTTTGAAGTCTTTTAGTGTTTGTAATACTGAATTGGTTATTTGCTTTTCACAGATTTTTTCCTGCATTACATTAAGATAACAACTTTCACTATAGACTTGAATTGGAACATTAAAACATAACTTTAAAACTCACCTAGAATAGGTACAGAGAGGAGGACTGTGCCAATGAGCTTGCTGGCTGGGACTCCTCCCTCAGAGGCCCCCTTCCTGCTGTGTCCTTGGTGACCCTGCTACACACAGTCTGCAGTTCGCAGGGCAGGCCTGTGATCACTTTCTCATAAACACCCCTGACTCCTTCATGTAGTTGAGTGTCCACTGGGCACAATAACAGCACGGCATTGCAGGGAGACCACGCAGCCCTGCAGACTGGTCAAGGAACTTCACAGCTTCCATCCCCACCCCAATTCTGGCCACACGTCCCTGGTGGGTTCGCTTTTATCTGAGGCCATGCTTATACATCTGATCTTCCTTCCTCAGATTTTAGTCTCAGCCGGTACTGTGCCTCTTTCCCACCTGAAATGCTGCCAGCCTGCCCCTCCACTTGATGCCCCCTGCATCCCAGTATGGGCCCTCTCTCCGTCACTTAGGGACTTGCTGCTGCTGCCTCGGTGGTGCTGCCTCACTCCTGGGCCTCAGCTTCTTCTTCCTGACAGATCACCTCTGTTAGTATCCAAGATCCTTGATACTCCCATCTTAAAATTAATTTAAAAATTCCTCCCTTGATTTTCAGTCAGAGTGGGAGATTAAATTTACAGTGACCTCTGCTTTCTTTAAAAGCCCACTAAAAGGGCACAACCTACCAAGAAATTAAGAGAGGAGGCGACAGAATTTGGAAAATTTGGGAAGTAGATGGACAGAGGGATCTAGCAGATCTGAAAAACGGAAAACTGAGTGGCGTGTGTGTGTATGTGTTGGGGGGCCTGGGAGGTGAATATACTGCACTGCAGACAGTTACCCCTCCACCAAGTCTCAGGACTGATTCTGAAAATGGGGTGGTGGGATGCGGGTGGAAGGAGGCAGCAATGAAAATAGGGCCAAAATAGGAAATTAGTGGAAAGAAGCAGTCACACTCTTAGCGCCTCCCCCAGCAAGCCTGAAAATCCTTCCCCACCCTGGCTGAAGACTGCAGGTTCCTCCCTTCAGGGGGGGAACTGGAGTCTTTGGGCACAGCAGAGGGAGCAGTTCTAAACAGAAAGTGGAACAAGCTCCTGCCCTAATGGCACCACAACACTGGAAACCTGGGATGTACTGTTGGATGTGTGTGAGTAGATCAGGCTGTTCCCTGCTATGTTTGAGTGACCTCTGGCCGAGTGTTTGGAGATAAACTGACATAAGTGCACAGGACACTCAGCAAACCCTTATTAACTCTAGGAAGCACAAGAAGGGGGATGCAGCAGGAGGAGGAATAAGGTCACAGAGCTCCTGTGTGCATGTCCTGACAGTGTGTACTGGAGATTGATGATCAGACCAGATTGGGCAGAGGTGTGTGGGTGGCTCTGAGGGTTAATTTCATGTTTGTAATAGGAAGTTAGTGGATGATACAAACTGTAAGGTCAAGAAGAGCGAACTGAACCTGGGAATTAGAAATGTGGAGAGAAATACCAAAAGAGGAGAGAAGAACCAAGAGAGATGCCTGTGGGAGGGGATACTGTTTTCACTATAAGTTTTGTGGAATTCTTTGACTTGAAAACCATGTACATTTACAATTTTGTTAAAAATAAAATTGAAAGGTAATAAATATAGCAAATACTGTTTTTCAAAAAAATAATAATGAAAACAAGGCCTCTCCACTCTCTCCTGTCTCCTGCAGGGCCAAGCTGGACTGTGTGGCCATCTGGTCCTCCCCAGCAGGGCTTTGTCTGCACCATTGGGCTGGTTCACGTGGTCTCTGCTTCCCCCAATCCGGTGAAAAAATCTTTCCTCAGGGGCTTGAGCTCTGCTGCTTTAGACCCATACAGCAACCCCTTCCCATGACGCCATGCATCCCAGGCCCCCGTGTTTGTTTGTGTATCTGTCTTGCTTCTCCCCTGCACACGTGAGCCACTCTGCCGTGATGCTCAGGGAAGACCCTGCTGGTGGTTGGTGCTTGGGGGACTACGGGGCCCATGGCACTGCTGCAGACATTTTGGTCTGTTTCACTCCAGGTTTTGCATCAGGGATTAAGGTGTATATACACTTCTATGCCCTGCTTTTAAACTAAATAATATACTGCAAAATGTTTTACGTCATCCAGTTGAATATCTTATTTTTAAAAAAATTCTCACCTGAGGGTATGTTTATTGATTTTAGAGAGGGGGGAGTGGTTGGGAAACAGAGAGAGAGAGAGAGAGAGAGACATCAATATCCACGCCCCGACTAAGGATTGAATCCACAACCTTTTGGTGTTATTGGGACAATGTTCCCACCGAGTCACCCTGCCATAGT